AAAGAAAGAAGCAAAAATGCGCATCCCGTTCTAAATTTTATCTCCAACGTATAACAACGTGAAACGTCGAATCGATGGCTTCGTAAACGTCGACGATTATCGTTAATTAATTGTTATATTAAGAAAGGAAAACGAAAATCACGGGTTTCGTGATACGCGTGAGAGAAATTCGGTCGTGTTACGCCCTTTTGACTTGTAATTACTAAACGCTTAAGCGAGCGTTACTTATTATCCTGGTCGTTGCGGAATAGTAGTCGTAATAAGCGACACCACCGTGCTCTGGTTTAATATCGCGTGGCCGGCGCTGGATATATGGAGATACCTGGTCATTAACCTCTTTTGATGTTTAATTATTGGATACATGGGTAAATGTTACCTATTATTATAGTTGTTGGATAGATTATAATAATCTGGCTTCCCACCAGTGGCTTTAATATCGCATTAAAGATATTTTCATCGAATCGATATATATATATATATATATCAATCACGATTAGATATCTGTCGCAAAAATACGAATTTTTAGATTAAATTTAATTTTTAATTTCGATAATTCTCGTTCGAAGGTTAAAAAATTCTCCTTTCGTTCTAAGAAAAAGAAGAAATCGATGATTGAAGAAAAATATTCCGTGTTCACAACTGGATTTCAGATTGTATTCCATATATCAGCACGTACGATTCTCCGCGTCGTTGAACAGATCGTTGGGGAATGCTAAACCGGAGTCACGTTAGAGCACAAAAATAAAATTGCATCGAATCAAAATCAACTGTAACGCGTTTTCTCGAATTATACACGCAAAAAAAAAGAAAGAATGACAAATGTGCAACATCTAGAAATAATTCCACCACATCAATTTTCCAATGCGTGCATTTCTACCTTTCTGCCACTATCTTTCTCGATTCGAATTCGGAGAAGAGAGAAATCCGGATGCGTGCCCGCATCCGTCTCCTCTTTTTCTCCTCCTCGTCTTCTCGCCTTCGATAAATCGTGGAAATCCGCGCATTAAGAATTACGAAAGTGGGTCGCGAATCAATCGAGAGGGGGAAAAAAGCGTGGAATCGTTGCTGCGGCCGAGTTTGGCCGAGGTTTTATCCTCTCCCCCTCGGTTGAGCGATCGTTGGGGATCGAAGGCAACATAATTAATTCCTCCGAGGCCTGGCCTTCTTCGTCCTGTCGTTCTATTTTTCATCGTTTCTCGATCACGGAAATTAATTTGGACACGGAGACGACGAGATGGACAAAGATGGAATAATAATGGATGAATAATGATTTTAAGAAAAGATAATGAAAACACGAGAGATCGAGGATAATATTTTGCAATGTTTCCTCTCGTGTTTTTAATAATTGTGTAAACAGTGGACGAATGGGAAAAAAGAAGGAGGAACGTATTTTTCGTTGCACCATATTTTTTTTTTTTTATTCTTGTCATCCCGCTTTTTGAAAAATTATGCTTGTTGATTTTTGTAAAATTGGAGTACAAGAATAATGGCGGATTATATTTGACGAATAACGAGTTTTTAGTTGGTTTTTCGGAAAGTGTATATTTATAAAATGTAGGATCGCAGGAAATTATGTCGTGATGTTTCGTTTTCATTTTTTCTTTTTTTTTTCTGAAAGAAGAATTGCATTATACACATTTTTTTTTTTTAATATCATATTAATATTACGAATCAGATAAGTTTATATGATATATATATCTTTTCGTGCTTTATCTTCATTCGTAACGGGGAAAACCACGTGTAAATAAATTCTTATTATGATTTATTAAAGAGGAAACACAACGCGCCAGAATTTTTAATTATCGTAATAAATTTTGATTTTAATGAAAATTGATATTGAAATTTCGCTGCGTGACGTTAATATATTTGCGCTTTCTCGTAATATTTTAATTTTTCCCGTTGTTTCTACGCTCGCTTGCTCGAAAAACACGCATTCCTTGATATTTAAAGTAATTAAATTCGTATCGTCGTCGTAGACGTCGAGTCACGATGACTCAAGAATCTACGAGGCGCGACTTCGTTAGAAACTTGCGAGATTATTAAAAATAAACGATTCGACGAAACACAACGAGAGAATAATATTTTTACACGTACGTTATTTCTTCTCGTCGTGCGCATCGTAATTCGATGGCCTGTTATCTTACTGAAATTAAACGCGAATTAATCTCGGCAAATATTTATTCTCCTCGAATGGAGAAAGAAGAGAAGAGAAGAGAGGAAGGTGAAGAATCACCTTTTCACATCCTTTCCACATAGATAAAATAGAAGAAGAGCTTTTAACCTATTC